GTAGAATGATTTGTATATATATCGCTGTAATGTATACTGCGTAAAATATTATTTTCTTCAAAGTGCTTAGTTGACACAGAACGGATATTTTTTTTTTAGATATAAATTTGTAAATCAAAAACTTTCAATATACAGATTAACACTACACAGCCAAATTTAAATTAATATGCATATAGTGAATTAAGTAACATGCAAAAGAGAGAATATTGAATGTGTAAGTATGTTGATCTAGAGAGCGTATACATGTCTCTAACGTCATCAATACTATTTCCGCCTTTATCTCGAAAGTTCTATTCTCATTCACAGGTCAGAGTTATCTTTCTTTGCCCAACTTATACATACTACGTAAATAGAGAAAACTTCGGTACCGAAAATATACAAAATGCGGAATCTGATTTAAAAACAAATTATATATTTAGTATTTGTAGAAAAATGTCTGTTTTACATAAGAATATCTTAAAAAAATATCTAAAAACAAAAAAATAAAAAATTGACCAAAAACAAATTCACTTCCGGTTCGGACAGGAAGAACTGGAAACACACGAAAACAACTTCAAAACAAATAAAATATCATGATCTACTACTCCTGTAAATTTCATATCTTTACCTCAAACCGTTTCCGAGAAAACTGCCGGACAAAAGTCCATTTTAAAATTCGAAAATCGGCCATAACTTCGGACCGGAAGTGAATTTTTCAAAAAACGGAATTTTATATAAACTTCATATATCAACCTACTTACATGAGAAAAATTGTGAAAATATATCCAGCCATCTCTGAGTAATCGCGCTCACAAAATTTGGGAGGAATAATAATAATAATAATAATAATAATAAAAAGAAACAATACAAACACTATAAGTCTTCCGTTGTGAACGGAAGACTTAATAAGAAACAGAGTAAAAACAATATGTTCCCCAACTTCGTTTGGGGAACATAATAAGAAACAGAGTAAAAACAATATGTTCCCCAACTTCGTTTGGGGAACATAATAAGAAACAGAGTAAAAACAATATGTTCCCCAACTTCGTTTGGGGAACATAATAATCTTCATATCAAAAAAAAGTCCAACAAGGACATAAACTGTAACTGGAACACAGAAACCCGTAGCCCTGTACTTATCTTATACATGTGGATAGGTACAGATAAACAATGAACCCAAACTCCCACACAATACGTATATATATGCGGCCTACTCTGTACTATTGATAAACAACGTGGGTAGGTACAGATAAACTTAGTACCCAAAACTCCCACACAATAAGTACATGTATGCGGCCTACTCTGTACTATTGCTAAACAACTTGAGTAGGCACAAATAAACATTGTGTCCAAAACTCCCACACAATAAGTACATGTATGCGGCCTACTCTGTACTATTGCTAAACAACTTGGGTAGGCACAGATAAACTTTGTACCCAAAACTCCCGCACAATAAGTACATATATGCGGCCTACTCTGTACTATTGCTAAACAACGTGGGTTGGCACAAATGAACATTGTGCCCAAAACTCCCACTCAACTACTCTGTACTATTGCTAAAAAACGTGGCTAGGTTCATATACTTAGTATAAATGTATACCTCTACTTCCACAAGATAAGTACATTAGGCCGAAATTATTTATCGAATCAATAATAAACAAACCTGTGAACTAAACAAAAACTCTGTACCGTAGGTCCGTGCAATTTTTTTTTCAAGATTATAAATATGGGAAAATGATTTATATGGTTTATATAAATCGGTATAACCATACATAAGACCGAAACCATTGTCATTATGATAACCTATCGAATGTACAAATTTCCACAGAAACATTCATATCCTTGCTTTTAATCAACAGAATTTGCTGACAAGCTTTATCTATATGACCTTTCCTATTCATAGCCTACTCAAAGCATACGCAACACGTTGTGCAATATAAATGATGTAAGGACCTGTCAGCTGTCTATAATTTAACTTGTTATACTATGTTATAGTTATTGGGTGGGTGGACTTTACTTGTAATGATATTTCACGTGTGTCAAAACATTGTGACAGCATTGGCCGAGAATGTTAGATTTTGTATTTATTTTTACATGTCATGAATTAATTACCTTTCATCTTAAATCTGCATGTATTTCTAGAGTTAATCGTCATTATTTTAGCAGTTCTACGTGTCTGGATTAGCTGTAATAGTTTGAGTTATCTGCTGCCATGTCCCTTGTTTACACTCTGCCCGCCATCTTTATATCGGTGCATGCTATCTACATTGTTTCGTATTTTACCTAACTTATTATCCGTGCTATATTACGGGCATAATTACTTGCTCTTTATCATGGTAATTATTATTGTGGGTTATGCTATTCATTTTAGCCATTATTATTCCTGATTACATGTGTCTACAACTTGCACTATGTTTTTATCCATCCGCGATATCGTCTGCCTACTCAGCAAAGTTATTTATGTGAAATTTACAGGTTTCTGATATAAATTGTTTACTTACTTATTATAGACACATCTCTTGTTATCCACATTTATTGATTATGTTGTCTTTTTACATGTTAGTTCCAGGGTTTGTTTATAATCCAAGTTGTACGACAATTTTGTCCGACAGTACGACACGATTTTCATTTTGTACGATGTCGTACATTGTCGTGATTGGTGGAACGTCGCCGTACAGCATTTTTATTGGTTGAATCTAGTCATGTGACCCTTTTCCGAAGGTTATATATATTGGCCGATTTCATTATGTAAACAGATAATTTGCCGAGTTGTCAGGCGCGTATATTTCAAAGAGACAATTCCAAGATCCGCCCATATTTTCACCGTAGCCTTTTACAGCATTATAATTGTGATTTCAGGTGAGAAAATGATCGACAATTATCTCCCAACACACTGGACACCTATTTAATTGAAATTAACTGTGGGGATCATCCTAGTTAAGCCATTGTACACCCCCTCTTTTTATAATAGTAGCCTGTACGGTAGACGCCACTAAAATTTATTATTGTACCTTTTTGAAATGAGTGCTGATTTATGATTAATAAATATTGTTGAGACCCAAAAGAATCTTATGTTTTCCCTATAACCAGAGGAACAAGGATTTAGTACATGAGTACTACCAGTATTTATTTTGTAGCATCCCTGACTTAAGCTTGGCCATTCCCAGGGAGCTTACAATGATTACGAATACTATACTGACCTTATAATTAAGACGGCTGAATTATCTGCATTCCTTATACATCGCATAGGCTGGTCGTGCAAGGGGGGTGCAGCACAGAGGTTAATGTAAATATATAGTATGTGCATGTATAAAAAAAGAAGGGTAGGACACTCTTTCTGAGGCAAATTCGGGTTTGGGGTATTGTGGGCGTTTCTCAGAAGACTTGACGCGATAAATTGTTCACATATAACTTACTATCAATATATGTTCCGCTCCAATGCCGTTCCTTCGAAGAAAAAGATGTTTTTATACCTCCAAGTGGCTGAGAATTTCCATATGCTGCTTTACTTCCGCTTTATCCGCACTGAATATAAAGGTAAGGTTTGATTGGTTAATAATAAAATAAAATTTAATATTTTTTTCCCGTCACTAGGTGGCAGACTGATAGATATGAAGCGGCACATTAAAATATGTAATCATTCGCCAATCAAAACTTACCTTTTTATTCAGTGCGGATAAAGCGGAAGTAAGGCAGCATAGCGAAATTCTTAGCCACTTGGAGGTATAAAAACATCTTTTTCTTCGAAGGAACGGCATTGGAGCGGAACGAAACGGTACATATATTGATAGTAAGTTATATGTGAATGATTTATCGCGTCAAGTCTTCTGAGAAAGGCCCACAATACCCCAAACCCGAATTTGCCTCAAAAAGAGTGTCCTGCCCTTCTTAATTTATACATGAACATACTATATATTTACATTAACTTCCAGTGCCCGTTGGCAACACCATCGGTTAAGTAAACAAAAAATACGTAATCTCGTAATCTCAAAAAACAGCACAAATTGTGACAAAAATCAACAAAACGATGGAATAAGAAAGCACGTCTCCTGGTTGACTCTAATGATCACGAAAAGTTATTATTTCTTCAAAATAGACGTGCCTCATGTTAGCGGTGGTGAGCGCGCGAGTGTGAATGACTCGCTGAGCTAACCACGTGACCTTACACCTTCTATTACAATTAAATCATCTGACAAGGCGTGGATCTGAGAATTTTCACAATTTACAAACCTAAATGTTACTGGAAACCTCCTAAAAAATTATCGCATTAAATACATAAATACAATTATTATTCTAATAATTGTTGTTGCTTTTTGGTTGTTAGTACGAGAAATGATGTTCGCAAGTATCAAACCCACGTCAGCGAAGAAGCATAAGAAAAGAATCTTAAAAGACAATGAAGTACTGATCTATGAAAATCGTGTTTGCTTACACAACCTGGGAAATTAGATACAATTAACATTCTCAATTACTCTAGTTTGGAGCAATATCTGCAATGTCATTTTAGAATACTTGATTTAATTACAAATTATGAAATTTAGTGCACATTGACATTTATTAAGTTTAATAGACAAAAGTGGTTCAGTCAAATTAAAAATAAGTACCCTGACATAAGCATGTACTGTAGCTATAGAGAAGGCGCTTCAAATGCTTAAAAACAGAAAAAAGTATTTTTTAAAATATATTTTAAACTCTGCAAAATTCATTTTCAAATTTGAGTAGAAGCAACGTAGTTTTAACTCTACCTTTATTTTCTAATTATCTGTAATTTGCATAATTTCGATAAGTTTTCAGCTCCTATGATTCCATATATCTCCAATTAAATATATTTTTTAGGAAATTTCAGCTAAATGATGTTTTAAGTTATTTATTCATTTTTTTAATTAAAAAAAACCCAGAAAGATTATCATCATTTGCATCCTTACAAAATACCTGATATTAATGTACTATTTTTATGTCAAAATTTTCCTTATAATTTTCATAAATTAAGAATATTAATAAAATAGAAGAGCACGTTTCTATTCAAAGTATAAATTCTGTCCTTGCTATATATTCATGAAGAATTCATGGTAAAAAACCAATCATCAGAGATTCCAAGTCATTCTTGCAAAACTATAAGGTCTTGGTCCTCTTAAATTATTTTGATCTATGGATGAGAGTCGTACCTCTCTCCTCATATGGACTTTTTCCTGTCCTGGGGAACACGCAATATTACTTCTCTGTTCATAAGTATGTTGTTTATTGATAACAGTTCTGCTGTACTGGTCGGCTGGAGTGTCCACGGTTTTGAATTTAGGAAAATACACCCGGCTGTAGCCATTAGTAGCTTGGTTATGATGTACCTTATGATATGTTATCTCTTTTATACTTTTTGGAATATAATTGACATTGTCCTCAAATTCTTCATAGCGAATCAGTTGCAGTTCCTGTATCTTATTGGTTGAATCTGCCGACTTGGCCATGATATTATGGACCTCATACTTTCCTTGTCTTCGATGTCTAGAAAGGAAATTTCATTATTTGAATTAAATACATGTTATTCTATATACTTAGTTTACACGTTCATTTATCCCTTGCTCCATTAACTTAAGGAATGATTCTTGTCTGGTTTCTTACAAAATGAAATATTCAAGGTTTACTTGGCTATATAACTTGTAAATGTAAGGTATTTAAAATAGATTTATCATTTCTTCTTTTATTTGTACAACTTAAATTAGAAATGGTCAAGTAAGTTCGAGATCTTTGAAACAGAGTAAAATGCACACTCGATCTATAAGCCAATAAGGTAAAGTTATGCACCAAACCAGCCCAATATCTGCGAGCATGTAGAACAAAATACAGAAAATCTTTGACAATCAAAAATGTCGTGACTCAGTAAAAAAATAATTGAAGCAGAACGAAATGCAAAATTGATCTGTAATTCAACAATATAACTGATTTATCAAAAATTAGCTCAATATCTTTAATAATTTAGAAAAAGTATTAAAATCGAGTAGGACAGACTGATAATCAAACGGAGGGACCAGACGGACTGACAGATGAACAGCTGAACGAACATACAGACAAGGAAGAAAACAATAGTTTCACCAGTAGGCAATTAATAAATAATTGTAAGGAGAATCCCTCCTTCAAATCTATGTTAGTTTTTATTTTGAAAATATTATTTTTCTGTAAAAATCTGCTAAAAATTATGTTTCTTAATGCAACTATAATCTTCATAAAAACAAACTACAACGTTACTGATCTTAAAGTGAATAGTACAAAAAGACGGGTTGGGGTTTTTTTTTTTACACGATAGAACATAGTTTTCATCTTTGTGAAAGTACTTAAGCATTCTGGAATGAATTTTTGAATTGGTGGAACAGCTTGAATTTATATTTTATCCAAGATATATATTCCATGTCAAAATGTAATACTCGGGGTATTTGGCATTTGCACAAATACTTATATTTACAATCAGTGTAATTTTTCTTTATGAAATCCATTAGAAATCCACAACTTTCAAATCTCAATATTTACATTCGGTTTAATTTTCTTTATGAAATCCATTAGAAATCCATGACGTTCAAATCTCTGTAACACACGCGAAACCTTGTCACCGCGCGTTAGAATACACAGTAGGAACTATGTGAATTTTCAATTCTTTATGAACACCAAAATGTACATTGTTTGACACAATCTAATTTTTAAATAACACACGTGAAACCTTGTCACCTCGCGTTAAAATACACATTAGGAACTATATGCATTTTCAATACTTTAGGAACACCTATATATAGATTGTTTTGACATAATTTAATAAAAATTTTTTAACCCTGTTCAATTAACGTAAAAATACAACAAACGTGTGTTTAAAATAAAGTTCTTTGTCACTTTTTTCCTCGCAATGTTCGTTTGCGTAATTTAAATTTGCGACATCACAAACGTCATAAACGGCTGTTACGTCTATAAAGCACACCAGTTTTGAAGGGCGCTAAATTCACATTAAAGATTACCGAAATAAACAATTATGCCGTGCCGACTTAAGCATTCTGGAATGAATTTTTGAATTGGTGGAACAGCTTGAATTTATATTTTATCCAAGATATATATTCCATGTCAAAATGTATAACTCGGGGTATTTGGCATTTGCACAAATACTTATATTTACAATCAGTGTAATTTTTCTTTATGAAATCCATTAGAAATCCACAACGTTCAAATCTCTATATTTACATTCAATATAATTTTCTTTATGAAATCCATTAGAAATCCATGACGTTCAAATCTCTGTAACACACGCGAAACCTTGTCACCGCGCGTTAGAATACACAGTAGGAACTATGTGAATTTTCAATTCTTTATGAACACCAAAATGTACATTGTTTGACACAATCTAATTTTTAAATAACACACGTGAAACCTTGTCACCTCGCGTTAAAATACACATTAGGAACTATATGCATTTTCAATACTTTAGGAACACCTATATATAGATTGTTTTGACATAATTTAATAAAAATTTTTTAACCCTGTTCAATTAACGTTAAAATACAACAAATGAACATTTAATTAAAATTAATTTGTCACTTTTTTCCTCGCAATGTTCGTTTGTGTTATTTAACTTTGCAACGTCAGAACGTCACAAAAGGCTCTTATGTCTATAAAGCACACCAGTTTTGAAGAACGCTAAATTCACATTAAAGATTACCGAAATAAACAATTATGCCGTGACGACAAATTACTAGTATCATACTGCGCTAACGCGCGGTATTCAATTTGTCGGCACGGCCAGGGGTGTTATAGGACCGAAGACATCCCAAAATATTTATTCATTGCTTAAATATCACACCTTTGAATTTGTTTATTGCTAGCAAAATACTATGTTTCGACTGTTAGAAATGCACAAGAGAGATGTGAATGTAGCTTGAATCTTATGGCTTTTAGAAAAATGTTAAAGGAAAAAATATAAATAAATTTTTTAAAAAATTCGATACTGTAATAAGATAAAATTAGAAGATTTTATTGGAAAATCTGGAAAACTAATCTATGTTTTAAAGAATTTTTATACATGTATAAAGATAAGCCCCAAAACATTTTCTGTTATTATTTAAGTATACAGCTATCAGAAATTTTGATTATTTATTCTTACACCAATGTTACATGACCTTAATTTGTAAAAGGTGACAACCAATGATTTTATTTTGCATTATGCTATATATCAATTTCTATACATAAACAAGAGGCCCAGGGGCCACATCGCTCACCTGAGCAATTGGCTAGGAAAAAGCAGAACCAAAAGTTTACTGAGGGGGGGGGGGCTTGAATTTTAACCCCCCAGGGGGTCATGATTTGAGCAAACTAGAATCTACACTACCTGAGGATGATTCCCTATAAATATTACTAAGCATGGCTTTGAAGTACTTGAAAAGAAGATTTTAAAAGGTTTCCCTATATATTCCTATGTAAAACTTTGATCGGCCATTTGGCCCCACCCTACCTCCGGGGGTCATGATTTGAACAAACTTGAATCTACACTACCTGGGGATGATTCCACATGAGATTCATCTTTCCTGGCCCAGTGGTTCTTGAGAAGAAGATATTTCCTATATATTCCTATGTAAAACTTTGATCGGCCATTTAGGCCCCACCCTACCCCCTGGGGTCATGATTTGAACAAACTTGAATCTACACTACCTGAGGATGATTCCACATGAGTTTTATCTTTCCTGGCCCAGTGGTTCTTGAGAAGAAGATTTTTAAAGATTTTTCCTATACATTCCTATGTAAAACTTTGATCATCTATTTTGGCCCCATCCTACCCCTGGGGTCATGATTTGAACAAACTTGAATCTACACTACCTGAGGATGATTTCACATGAGTTTTATCTTTCCTGGCCCTGTGGTTCTTGAGAAGAAGATTTTTAAAGATTTTTCCTATATATTCCTATGTAAAACTTTGATCGGCCATTTTGGCCCCATCCTATCCCCAGGGGTCATGATTTGAACAAACTTGAATCTACACTACCTGAGGATGATTCCACATGAGTTTCATCTTTCTTAGCCCAGTGGTTCTTGAGAAGATTTTTTAAAAATGTCATTAATTTTTCTCTAATTTATAGTTATCTCCCCTTGGAAAAGGGCGTGGCCCTTCATTTGAACAAACATGAATCATCTTCACCTAAGGATACTTTATGGTAAGTTTGCTTGAAATTGGCCCAGTGGTTCTTGAGAAGAAGATGAAAATGTGAAAAGTTTACAACAACAACAACGACGTCGACAACAACGACAGACAACGGACAAATTGTGATCAGAAAAGCTCACTTGTGCCTTTGGCTCAGGTCAGCTAAACAAGAGGCCCAGGGGCCACAGCGCTCACCTGAGCACATCGGGCTAGAATTTACTCCCCCCCCCCCTCCAGGCATTCATCATTTGAACAAACTAGAATCTACACTACCTGAGGATGATTCCATATAAATATCACTAATCATAGCTTTGAAGTACTTGAAAAGAAGATTTTAAAAGGTTTCCCTATATATCCCTATGTAAAACATGGGTCAGCCATTTTGGCCCCACCCTAGCCCCGGGGGTCATGATTTGAAAAAACTTGAATCTGCACTACCTGAGGATGATTCCACATGAGTTTCATCTTTCCTGGCCCAGTGGTTCTTGAGAAGAAAATTTTTAAAGATTTTTCCTATATATTCCTATGTAAAACTTGGGTCAGCCATTTTGGCCCCACCCTTGCCCCGGGAGTCATGATTTGAACAAACTTGAATTTGCACTACCTGAGGATGATTCCACATGAGTTTCATCTTTCCTGGCCCAGTGGTTCTGGAGAAGAAGATTTTATAAAGATTTTTCCTATATATTCCTATGTAAAACTTGGGTCGGCCATTTTGGCCCCACCCTTGCCCCGGGGGTCATGATTTGAACAAACTTGAATCTGCACTACCTGAGGATGATTCCACATGAGTTTCATCTTTCCTGGCCCAGTGGTTCTGGAGAAGAAGATTTTTAAAGTTTTTTCCTATATATTCCTATGTAAAACTTGGGTCGGCGATTTTGGCCCCACCTTTGCCCCGGGGGTCATGATTTGAACAAACTTGAATCTGCACTACCTGAGGATGATTCCACATGAGTTTCATCTTTCCTGGCCCAGTGGTTCTGGAGAAGAAGATTTTTAAAGATTTTTCCTATATATTCCTATGTAAAACTTGGGTCAGCCATTTTGGCCCCACCCTTGCCCCGGGGGTCATGATTTGAACAAATTGAATCTACACTACCTGAGGATGCTTCCACATGAGTTTCATCTTTCCTGGCCCAGCGGTTCTGGAGAAGAAGATTTTTTTAAAATGCCATTAATTTTTAACAAATTCATGATTATCTCCCCTTGGAAAAGGGCGTGGCCCTTCATTTGAACAAACTTGAATCCCCTTCACCCAAGGATACTTTGTGCCAAGTTTGGTTGAAATTGGCCCAGGGGTTCCTGAGAAGAAGATGAAAATGTGTGAAAAGTTAAGGACGACAACGACGACAACAACGACTACAACGACAACGACTACAACGACGACAGACAACGGACAAATTTTGATCAGAAAAGCTCACTTGAGCCTTCGGCTCAGGTGAGCTAAAAATGAAAGCAAGATTGAGATTGAATCAAAGCTCCATTTTTCCTCTATTTATTTCATTTATATTATTTTCACTTATATACTGACATAGCCTGATGCCCAATCCTATTATGTTTATACATAGTAAAATATTGTTTAAGTTCAATCATTTATTTCATTTGAAACAAAAAATTACCGTCATAAAAATTGATCTTTATTTGGCTTAAATAAATGCATGAAACATTAAATGATGTGAAATATACCTGTGGACTTACCTGTATATAAAAAGAAGTAAAACGAAGATCAGTATTAAGAGCTGAAAGGCAATGATCCCAATAACTGCATGAAAAACAAATTTACATTCTTGTGTAATATTTCTTCTTTCACCTATGAATGAAAAATAAAGACTAATTTTAACGACATAAACGATAATAAGTTACATGTATCTTGGATCAAAAAAATTGATATTCAACGCTGATAGATACAATTGATTTTCACATTTTGTTTCTATAAAAAGTATTTTTGCAATGATTTTTATTTCAAATATTACTTATCCAGTTACTTCCGTTTTAAAGCCTTTTAAAATGTGTAACAGTCTGCCTTTTATCTATTTTAGAACAACATTCTCATGTTTTTGTCACTGATAACTTGGTTTACAAAAAAAAGATATATACATGAACTGAGTATTAGCTTTCAAAAATGAAGAAAATTTCTATATTATTCTTATGAATTCTTTCATTACAAGTCATTGCTTTCTCGGCAATTTCAGATCATCAACTCCGTGAAAGAATTAAGATAAACAATTCAATAAGCTAAATCAATCAAAGTACTGAGAGTACTGATAGGCGGAAGCATGTTTGCAGGTTCTCATGTGCAAAACTTTAATGACACATATTTGAAGCATAATCTTTTTTAAAGGGGGGGGGGGTGATAAATATTTTGATGGATTGTAGTATTGAAACCAAGGAACAAGAATAAACAATATGTCTCGGTTTTGATGCGGATACATGAGAATAAGTCACGTCAATAGCAATATGAACATTTTAACATTTATTATACCCCCGCTTGAAAAGTGGGAGGGTATACTGTAATCGGTATGTCCGTCCGTACGAACGTCTAGCTGTCTGTTCGTCCGTCTGTTACGCTTTGGGGTACTCATATTTTATCCACAATTCCTCTTATACCACTGAGTGAAATTTAATGAAACCTTCACAGAATCTTTATTACATATTGCCATTGTGCACCTCCTCTTTTACTTTTTGATCTGACAAATATTTTGGGTTTCCCGGCCACAGCAAAACATGGACTTTTCCATTATAATCATATGGGAGGCGGGGGTATCATTTAGTCAGTTTATTGCTCACAGTACCTCTTGTTTTTTGTCAAGTATAACCAGTTAAAATTGAAATGCAAGTTGCAATACATAAAATTTGTAAGATATGGTTTTGGGGAACAAGAAATGGAAAATTATAAAATTTCACACAAAAATGAGAACTAATGAGTAATAAAAAACAATAAATATCACAACTGCTTTTGGGTTTTGTATGTGTACATGTATTAAGTTTTAGTACCAATGAAACAAAGTCTTGTTATAAAACAGCAAATTATATAAGGAATACAACATACACAGAAGACCTTACATAGATTTACAATGTGCTTGTGGTTCTATGAATTGTTTTCATTCAATACATGTATGGCCCAGGTAGAACAAATCACACAAGTCTTTAATGCTGATGACGGGTGAACCCTGTGTCAACAGTCATGATGTCCACAATAAATGGAATATTTTTTCAGGAGAGCTTCTACCATGGCAGGCCCTTGAATGCCAGACAGTTTTATTTTTATTCCTGTGGTAAATTTGTCTTTGATGATTGTATTAAAATATTGGTACATAGATCCCAATATCAGTGGTGATTTCTTTTCTGGAGATTATCTACACGATTTCCTTCACAACTGTCTCTTGGCAGAATTTTCTACAAAGTGTATAATTGAAAAAAAAAATTAAGAATATCTCACAATGTTTATTTAACAAAAATTATTTCACATTATGTATCTGACTTTCAATAAATGAAATCAAGGACTTCAAATAACCTTTTATGATATACCGGTTATTTTAATATATTTTCTAGGGAAGTCAACTTTACCGGGTACGCGATCCAAGGTCCAAGTATCGAATACTAAAAAAAAGTTACTCGTTTACTGGATGTATATTATTTCTTTTTACAAGGTACACATTTTTATCAGAAACTTATCAATTATAACTAAAACATGCAAATGGTAATTAGCATGTCTTCATCTACACCTAGCTGTAAAACACCCGTTATCGCCTTGATCTACATTCATTCATTCAGTGAAATCTGACATGCAAAGAAATTAATGCCACTATACCAACTTCAAGAGTGAAGTGGGTATATAGAAATAACAAAAGATTCAAAACTGCGGAAAGTGAACTTGTGTAGTATTTAGTTTAGTGTAAATATACTGGAAACAACCAACAAATGAAATAATATAAGACTAGCGATCCTGACCAACAACATCTGTCCCCTCTCTTTCGCTAGTTATATAACCTACATGTGTACACAGCAGTTTTTCAAATAGATCCAATTAAAACAACCTTTTGTAATTTTGGGTGTATTGTGCATTTGTGTTTTATTTGATAACTAATTTTAGTACCAAAAATTATTTCCAATGGAATTCATAATTATCTGTACATGTAATGAAAAAGTCAGATATCGAGTAAGCGATTATTAAACATGATAAATATTGACTGATTTGACTTCTCTAATATTTTTTTGTATTTGTTTTCTCTTTCAAAAGCCTACTATTATAAGTAATCATGTATTTGCATGTATTTAAAAAAAAAATGAAAAGAAAATAAGTCAACAAAAATTAGAAAAGTCAAAATATACTTTCAAAAATAGTATTCGATTCAGTTTTGCCATCATAACAAGATGATTTGTTATGCTATAAAAAATATGTATCATGTCATGAAATTTTTTTCCACTTATCTAGAAATATAATAAATTGATGTACTCACCTTCAGAAAAGTGTTTCTGGTTGTGCTGAGTTGAGTTTTCTTCTGCCATTTAGAGGTGGCACAGGGCAAATCCACAATGCAATCTTAATTATATCCCCTTTCTGTTAGCTGCCTCCGTAGCAGCGACACATCTATACAAAACACAATGATTATTAAACATGATAAATATTGACTGATTTGACTTCTCTAATATTTTTTGTATTTGTTTTCTCTTTCAAAAGCCTACTATTATAAGTAATCATGTATTTGCATGTATTTAAAAAAAAATGAAAAGAAAATAAGTCAACAAAAATTAGAAAAGTCAAAATATACTTTCAAAAATAGTATTCGATTCAGTTTTGCCATCATAACAATATGATTTGTTATGCTATAAAAAATATGTATCATGTCATGAAATTTTTTTCCACTTATCTAGAAATATAATAAATTGATGTACTCACCTTCAGAAAAGTGTTTCTGGTTGTGCTGAGTTGAGTTTTCTTCTGCCATTTAGAGGTGGCACAGGGCAAATCCACAATGCAATCTTAATTATATCCCCTTTCTGTTAGCTGCCTCCGTAGCAGGGACACATCTATACAAAACACAATGTAGTTCTTATGCTTGCGTTTTAATTTCTGTCCAGATTTTACAGTTTTGGCCCATCCTTCAACATACATGTATTAACATTATATAAACATGATAAATGTATACACAAACTCGGCATGATAATTCCTCAAATAATTTCTCCCAGGCATGTAATCATGGTAATTAGAGTACCAGTTCGTTCGATAAGACCCGACCATAACAGCTATCATATTACGATATCTAACATGTCTAAAGCATGCCTGCATAGGGAGGCGACATTTTCAGGTTAAAACAATCAAAGATAAGGGTGACAATAAAAGATAGACTAATCACACAGCGTGAGTTACCTTATTTATTTTGAAGAGAAGGCCTGTCACTTCCAGTCAATCATTGTAAATCATTTGTGCTCCACGTGGGTTTGTTGACAATAATTTCACGCTGAATCGTCTATATGTTAGATTATTACGCGAATGTAGTACACAATTGATAAAAGGAGTTACATACCTCTTTTCTTCTATTTCATACAAGATTATTGAAAAGATAAGTTCCTCAGTAGCTATGTACCTGTCATTAGTTCTTAAACATAATTACCTACTTGAACTATTTTGTCCCTTGTAGTATTTCTAAAGATCGCTTCAGTACCCCGTGCTAATCAAATGTTGAACCCGATTTGTTTATGTTTGAGACATACAGAGTTGTCGTTCGTTCTTCTCTCAAACGTGAAACGTATCAGCAGTAACAAAGTAACTATTCGTTCTATTATTAGGCTATTATTTTTATTGGACTTTTTTACATTAATCAAAATAAATTCGCCATAACACACGCTTTTTGATTTGATAATAACGATAAAGATTGGGAAGGGGTCAAATATGATTAAGCGGGTTGTATGCCCTTAGTTTCAGATACATCCGTTTGGAGTACCATGAAGCGGGGCAAACATCTTGAGAGGTCGAAAGGTCAACAAAGCATGCAAAAGTAAAAGGCGGCTTCCGCCTAACAAAAATAAGTCAAGCAAATGTTAATTTTATATACTATATGAATAATTTTTCGGCACATTTGACATATGCCATAAAATGCCGCACAATATTGTACATTCAACCATAAAAGGTTACTACATGCGTAGTAGCAGTAGCACAGTGGAATAACTTTCTCTTGGTAACTGGGAAGTACTGGGTGCAATTTTTGTTCCCGCCATAGCGTCAAATAAAAGACTTTAACATAAATAATGACTGTTTCTTTGACAATGGACAGATCAAGATGTTAAACTAACTTAAAAACCGAGGTCCCGTATCTGTGAAACAATACGCTTTGGCGTGATAAAATCCCCTTACTGTTCGATAACCCACAGTATCAAGATCTAAATTTGAAGCCTTTTGCTGTTATGTGGTTTTAATATATATACATATTAATGTAAAAACGTTGTATTCCTAACAACAAAAATACTATAGTTAACTATAGTTTACTATAGTTAACTATAGTAAATCAAAGTGTCAAAGTTTTCGCCAAAGTTTTTCAAAGTGTCAAAGTTTTCGCCAAAGATTTTCAAAGTGTCAAAGTTTTCGCCAAAGTTTTCCGAAGTGTCAGAGTTTTCACGAAAGTTTTTCGAAGTGTCAAAGTTTTCGATAAAGTTTTTCAAAGTATCAAAGTTTTCGTCAAAGTTTTTCAAAGTGTCAAAGTTTTCGTCAAAGTTTTTCAAAGTGTCAAAGTTTTCGATAAAGTTTGTCAAAGTATCGAAGATTTCATCAAAGATTTTCAAAGTGTCAAAGTTTTCGCCAAAGTTTTTCAA